AAAGTGTGTGCTGATCAGCTGGCCCCCATCTTCACACTCATCTTCAACAGGTCCCTGGAGCTGTGTGAAGTCCCCTCCTGTTTCAAACGCTCCACCATCATCACAGTCCCCAAGAAAACCTCCATTAGTGGACTGAATGACTACAGACATGTCACCCTGACATCTGTAGTCATGAAGTCCTTTGAAAGACTGGTGTTGGCCCACCTGAAGGACACCGTAGACCCCCTGCAGTTCACCTACTGGGCAACCCGGACATCCTATACAGCTTATTACAACATTCTTCTTAAATTCCAAAAGTAATTCAACAGTCACACATTCGAGTAGATTATCTACTACCCTAGACATTTTGTCTACCTTCTTGTAACAAAGGTTCTTATCTATGTACAAGGCCACACCACCTCCCATCTTATTCTCTCTGTTTGTGCATACCAAGTTATAGCCTTCGAGGTCAAAATCCATTCCTCTTACAGTGTTTATCCAAGTCTCAGATATTGCAATTATATTAAAAGAATGTTGTAGACTACTAAGGTAATGTTTTATACTCTGAAAGTTTGCATATAAACTTCTGCCATTAAAATGAATTAATGATAGCTTGTTCTCAGTCTTGACATTGCTGTTAAACTGCTCATCCGTGTAATACTTGCAGATTTTTTCAGAGTTCTTATAAAAATGTATATATTTATTAGTGATTATGAGATACAACCAACTGCAGCTACTACTAAGGAGGGCTGCAGTCCCGACAGCAACCCCCCACCCACCCAACTCACACTAGTGCAGAAAGCCAATTTAATTGGCCAAATATCAGCATGCAATTGAAACACAGCAATCAACTGCTAGCAACATTAGCATTGTACAGCACTCTCAGGAATTCAGACTGTGGCGACTAGCACAGGAACCTCATTTTTCCATGACAATGTGAATACCTGTTAATTATGCTTTATATATGTATATGTATGTAAAATTTTTTGTGTGAACGCACCCATACTCTTTTGGGAGGACCTGTACACCTCACGGGTCAAAAGGAGGGCGGAGAGGATCACTGCTGACCCCTCACACCCGGGATACAACCTGTTTGAACTCCTCCCCTCTGGACGGCGTTACAGGTCACTGTGCACTAAGACAACCAGGCACAGGGACAGGTTCTTCCCCCTGGCCATCACTCTGATGAACACTTGACCAACGACAGTATGACTGGACAATAACCCTCAGTGCAATACCTGCAAATATACCTTGTACAGATTATACAGACTCGTACAGGTCTCTAGTTTTAAGTACTCTATTTTTATTCCTATTTATCTCATTTCACAATGAGCATTCCTTTGTCTGTCTGCATCGTTTACTGCCTGTTTATACTCCATAGTTTGCTGCTTGTTAACGCTGCTTATTTTGTTATATTACACAGCCTTATGTTGGTTTACTGTTTACTTGCCCCTTGCATGGGGATATGCACATGCACATTGAGAGCTGATGTACCAGAGTCAAGTTCCTTGTGTGTCTGACATGCCTGGCCAATAAAGAAGATTCTGATAAAGCAGATTGTAAAGTTTGTGCCATGCTTGTTCAACAGCTGTTTGATAAACTGCTTATACAGTCTCTGTTACTGGCTGATTGTTGCACTATGGAGTGATCCTTCCTCTGTCTCATCTCTGCTCAGCTGAGTGTGTGTGAGAGGGTTGCAGTCCCTCCTCTAAATAGAGGCCGACAGAGTGAAAATACAGTGGAAAAACAAAGTAGGACAGTCTGCGTCAACCCAGGGGGTTATGTGGGGTGAAGTACCTAGTATATTAGGTTCCTACAGTGGAAACACAGCATGACTCCACTACCTTTGGGCATCTGAATCTTAACTTGTAGAAACCCCAGAGTGTAGTGTTAAAATCTGCACAGTAGTCAGAGAGCACAAATATGGTCCTCACATCCGTAGTGGCATGAGAAATACAGTAGATCATGTTGCATATTGGAGAAAACTGGTGTAGTATAAAATGCATAGTGAGAGTAGTTATATTTACTGTAAAATGGCACTTCCCAAGCACAGCGCCCATACAGGAACTGTTATTTGGTTCTGTTCGCACAACCCTATGTCTGTGTGCATGTGATGTGGAAGGGCTCGAGTTTCTTCACCTCATACTTGTATTTTTTATCAGTGAGATTAAGAAGGGCAGTGTTGCTGTAGAGCATCAGTCTGTAGCCGGTTTGTTCAGCCTTTTCTGATCTGTGAGCTCACCGCTAGGTCTCTAGCTTCACAGGACTGTGTGCATGTGTCAAGTTAGAAGTCAGACTTGAATATGCTGTAGTAAGTTTAGATATTTGTGACCCTGTCTGCCTATTAAGTGACTCTACACGGGATCCCAACCCGAAAGATGAGAAACCCTGTTATATACTGTAGCCACAATATTTTTTATGAAAAGTAAAATAAATCCAAACTTCCTCTTGTTCAGTCCAAGACTAAAGCAACAATAACCTTCTCCACTGTTTCTTTCTGTTCAGGTCAGCTGACGATGATTGTGGGGCAGGTGGGTTGTGGGAAATCTTCGTTGCTGCTGGCTATGCTTGGTGAGATGCAGACCATTGAAGGAAGAGTCTGCTGGAGCAAGTAAGATGCCACAACCACACTCTATAGCAGACACTGTCACACTATAAAGATCATATACAACTTCTTTTTTGGTGTTGTTTAGGGCCCCAAAACTAGTTATGAGCCTGTTGATAATACTTCAGAATTGCTACGTCTGTAGCTGTATTAATGCTAATTAACCCTTATTATATGATACAGTCCACAGCCCATATTTTTAAAATATGTGGATTACGTCTTCTTCTGTTCAGTATTCCATCAATCATCTTTTTATGCCTTTCTGTTTTCTTTCTTTCAAATGCTAGTATTAAAGTGTGTCCAGTTCCCTGCGAACTAAAACATTAGTTTTTATTCTATTATTTTACCAAGCAGTAAAAGACTGTATGTGCAGTAAAACCTTCACGAGCACAGAGTCCGTGGGAGTAATTCAATGAAATACCTTGTATTTCTGTTGAAGCAATGCTCTTATAGGCCGTTTTTTTTTTTGAGATGTGGTTATAACTGAGTTTACCAACAGGTTTTAGCTTTTCCCCTCAGTTAACCACAGCACATGTTCTTACCGTGCTTTGGATGTGTAGCTTGCATTGCTAACGATTCCTCATTGCAGTGTTTTCCCGGCGTATTTTTGTCAGTTTCCTAGTCCCGTTCAGGTGGATGCATGTAACAGAAACAGTCAGTAAAGCACTTTAACAGAGATGGGTAAGCAAACAGGACTTGCATAACATTAGACTGAGCACATTGCTGCTTGGCACACCAAGATGAGAAGAAGAAGACAACAGACTACTGGATCGGGCTACTTTCTGTTGAAATGTACACTTCCATCCATCCATCCTTTGGGCGAGAGGCGTGGTCCACTTTGGACAGGTCGCCAGTTTATCACAGGGCTGACATGTAGACAAACAACCACACACACCCACACTCACTCCTATGGGAAATTTGGAATCAGCAGTCAACCTAAGCTGCATGTCTTTGGACTGTGGGATGTAGCTGGAGTACCCGGAGAGAACCCACGCAAATGTTGCTTTCTTCTTAACGCCGGCTTCAGCTGCATTTTTATCTTACAGGAAGTCTGAACTTAAACTAAACAAATCACAGACTGAAGATGCACATCACTATAATAATAGGATCTGGGGCCACCAGGGCTGCACACTATCCTTTGCTGTCTGTCTGTGTGTGTGAGCACAGCTGTGCCTCTCTTCATGTGACTGTATGTGTCTGGTTTCTGTTTCTTTACTGCCTGCCTTCTTGCCATATCAGGCTGCCTGATTGTGAGATGGTCCACGAGGGGAACATAAGGTACTTTCTCTCTGATCTGCTCTTTTGTAAACACAATTATTTGCACAGACCATAAACATTCACACAAACCTTTTATACATTTAGCTAAACTACCTTATTCAAAGTGGTTCATATTAAGTGTAACTATCTTAAACCAGAAGTTAAGTTCACCTGTGGCTCTGGATGACTACTGCTCAGTTTAGTTCATTTTCAGAGCCTTTAAAAACTGATGATGAGCTCCAAGGTTGTCGTTTGCTACTCCTCCTGTGCTGATGTCAGATAACATGTTCCTGTGTTCTCTAGAAATACTTTTATCTGTTGTGAGTAAAAGATATTACAGAAGTCAGGAACACACACACAGGGGTTCAAACAAGTTCTGACATATTGACCTGGAGATCAGTGTCGCCAGCAAGTGATGACAACATAGACGTCACATTTACCATACAGACGTGGACAAAATTGTTGGTACCCTTCTGTTAAACAAAGAGAAACTCACAGTGGCCATTGAAATAATGTGAAACTGACAAAAGTAATAATAAATAAAAATTTACTGAAAATTAACTAATGAAATCTATAATGTATCTATAATATTATTTGGGTGTAACATGTAAGTACAGTATCAGTAATAACATCAGTGCCAGATTGAGCCTTGTTTGGGCCACATTTGGACAGTGTAGCCTTCAAGTTCATGCTAAAGAGGTTCACTGACGACACCAGAGAGTTATGGCACCTAAGTAATTCATGTCATGTGTCTGTTTTCTGAAACACTGCTACAGTATTTGTTCGGTCTGACATTTGGCATGATTTCCCAGGGCAACATTAATACATACACCCTTGTGCTCTTAAAATATGAGACACCATTGTTGAAGAAGCCATAAAACCTAGTTATTACAGACACACAATGAATGCATCTCTTACATGGCTCTTCTTTTCTGGGTGGGAAGGTTAATTCAGTTAACAGTTGGCAGGCTAACATCAAAACACATCTGTCTGTTCCAGCTCTCTGCTTTTCTTTACGCCTTTATTTTCTTTTTCCATGTTTTCTGTTTTTTTGTTTTGTTTTGTTTTGCTTTTCCCCAGCTGAAAAACTTGTTGCTCTTCTCTCCTTGTCCTTTTGCCTTATTCGGTTGTATGTTCATATATCCGCTCATACACCAGTATACACTCAGTCGATTGCACTAGGTTCTAACTCACTGACATGACTTTGACAGTTGGTCAGAGACAGAGGAGACCGGCGAAGACATCAGGAGGTATATGTTCTTCTTCCTGTTTCAGATCTGAAGTGACCCTTTGACCCCTGTTTTGTGCTCATCTGTTCTAACCCCAGTTTTCACTTGCCTCCCTCAGAAGAAAGTACTGGTTTCCACCACAGAGAAAAGTTCTTTTGCAGAAATTCAGGCTGTGTTTATCATGGACACATACATATAGTGTTTAAAGGGAGAGGTGACAGTGGTGCGGCCCCCCCCCATCGTGTATGCATGTAGCAGCCCGTGGCCCTCGGGTCCAAACAAAATTTCGCTGTACATGTCACAATGACAATAAATAAAGCTTCTTTAAAGATGCAGTGCATCTGGCCTCAGCTTGAATTTATTTTTCACAGTGCATTATACTGTCTTAATCTTCTTTTAACCTTTTTATAGATTTATTTTGATTTAATAAAGGAATATAAAAAGTCACTCACCAGCCACTTTATTAGGTACACCTGTGCAGTCATATGCAATTCAATGCAACACTTCTGCCTTAACATCTGTGTTTATGAAGCTCAGAATATTTCAGTTTTTGGTGATTCTGTCATAAATGTATCAGTTCAGTTATATGTTTTTCATGGAGGTTGTAGTTAAAGATGTTGTTGTACTGGACTACATTATATTTAGAGGTGTTCCTAATATTCTGACTCTCTCATGTATGTAGTTGGGGAGGGCAAAAATACACACACACACAAATTTAAACAACTGTTAAAATACATTTCCAAAGAGGAGGGAAGTAAAATAATAAATGGGATGTTTATAGAATATGTCTGAAAATGCATGAAAAGATGTTGTATGCGCTTTTCTTTTCTGTTTCACACTCATTTGTTCACTGACAAACTCTATAGTTGGAGCAGTTTTAGTGTGGTGGCTTTGTAAGCAAGACAGTCTTCCAAGTCTAGGATCTATCATTCAGAATTCTGCCGGCCACATCAGCGTCATGTTTGATATGTATGTGTTCAGGAACAACTGCGTCAGCCTTCACTGTGTACTATCTTCTGCTCAGCTTGTTTCTCCTCCTCATTGGTTTTGTGCCATGTGATCCTGAACTGGTTTGTGCTTTTAATACTGGGAATCATTGCCCAAACTCAGACATGCTCTGCTAATATATATTTTTTATTTATCAGTATCACTGATAAATAAGTATCAGTGTCACTGTCTGTGATATTTGGGACACCAGCATACAGTATGTGCATGTTTTTCGTACACTGTAAACTGTGCTGTATGTTTGTATTGGTTCATGTGAACAAGATGCCCCCTGTCAGAAGGAAAATTATGATGAATAAAATTTTGCTGAATTTAAAGTATAGATTGTAACAAAACAGATCATATATGCTTCTGCTCCACATATAATATGGTTTAATTTGAGTCCTGCAGTGAAAGCATCAGAGCAATGAAAAAGGAAACCATGAAACATAGGAGCAGATACTGTACCAGCTGTAATAAGCAGCAAAACCCAATGTGTGTACATGTAACAAATACAAGTATATGAGATGTATACAGTTGTATTACTGTATATTTCTTATTTAAGTGGCGGAGGATCAGATATAAACAAGTCTGAATTAAAAGGGAATGTCATTATGTCATAGTTGTCATTGTTGGTGTTTTCATTTGTTTGTGTTGCTGTAGCTGGTGTTAGTGTTGATTCTGTTCTTGCCATTGGTGATGACCTGCAGATCATTTTTACCTAATCCATGACCCATAGTTGTCTCTCATATTGGACAGAGTATTTTTCTTGTTGTGTGGTGTTTGGCACAGTGCTCCCTCTTTTCCTTTTTGTGTTTGGGTGCCACATTCATAAAGCTGGTCAGAACAGGAGTACTGATCTGATGCTAGCTTTTCTCCTGATTCAGGACAAAAGCTTTTTAGCTGAAACTGGAATTAGATTTGTAAAAAAAAGCCTGGCTTATGAAGTATTTAGAACTGAAGGTTACTGGTAGAAATGCTGAAACATAAAGATCTGTTGTGCTGACCTGCATAAAAGCACACAGATACTGCAAATACAAAATGTTAACAATAGTACAGGCTAACTCCACATACTATATGTGATGGTAGACAGCGTTTCTTGTTATCCTGATTAAAACTTATTAGGCATTATAAAAAATATGATCATGCTAATTATATAATTTGGTTAAACACCTTGTCACATAAAGGATGAATTGTGTACAAAAATAATTAAGCTGATTCTCACAGATTAGCCAAAAAGATGGGATTGGTCTAAGTCTTTTAAAATATGCCTATAAGGAATCAACGGTAATGTTCGTGAAACTGATCAGTGACACTGGCTCAGTACTCCTTCTCTTTGAAGCTTTATGAATATAGGGCTTGGACTCATTCTTACCTGATATCTGCTTTTCTCTGTTTCCCATGATGCACCCAGCAAGAACAGGAACTCTGTGGCCTATGCTGCTCAGAAGTCCTGGCTGCTCAACGCTACAGTGGAGGATAACATCACCTTTGGCGGCCACTTCAGTAAGCAGAGGTAAACCCCCAGTTTCCGGAGTGCTTTTGAGTTCATCTTTTGCTGTTTGGCATTAGGGCTGATGAACAACTAGCATGCAAACACCTGGTGCTGTTAGGTGGATGTTGCAGATCTTTTCTAACATGAAGTTCATCTGTGATAACGCTGGTTGTTTTATGTTTCTAAGGTACAAAGCGGTGATTGATGCTTGCTCCCTACAGCCAGACATCGACCTGCTGCCTTTTGGAGACCAAACGGAGATAGGAGAGAGGGTATGTTTGGTTTTTTGCTCAAAAATATTCATGATGATTTATCATTGCAGCATGGCTAATGAATAAAGTGAGGTGCATAGTATGTCAGATTACATTTCAGATGTTAACACTGAACATATTTGCATTGTTTTTGTGTACTTGTTGTGTGGTTCAGGGTATCAACCTGAGTGGCGGACAGAGACAGAGAATCTGTGTGGCCAGAGCCCTCTACCAGAACACTAACATTGTCTTCTTGGTGAGCTAAACCTCATAAAAATGTACATATACTGGAGTTTTTTTCCTTTACTGGGTTAGTTTCAGCCATGTCTTATGATTGATTGTATGGTAGGACATAGTATATGTTGGCCTCAGGAATGAGGAGGTGTCTGGGTCTTATTCATGTCTCTCTCCGCTGTGCCGTCATGTGTTTATCTTTCTGAGTAGTCGCAGGCTTTAATTGGTTATCAAGCTTACATTCCACCTTAAAAGCTATCACTGGCATTCTTTTATACATTCATCACACTTTGTAATGTCTGGTAAAAATGTGTCACTTGTAAAACCATGATGTTTAATGATTAGGTAATGTTACATTGTTTTACTGTGCAAGTGCAGCTGCTTGTGCGTTTCATATCTGATCTTAGGACCAGAGTATATACAGTAAGTCACATACAGTCACTGTGAAATAAATGAAATAATCTGTTTAGACAATTACACACTTGCCAACCTAGTAAGACAGACACTGATGGAGCAAAACAGATTTGCGATATTTGGCAGACACTGTTGTTCAGAACTTTTCACAGTGTTTGTGAATAACTCTACCATTGGATACCATTCTCAGCCAACACGAGAGGCGGGGGCCACCCTGGACAGGGCGCCAGTCTATCACGGGGGTGACATGCAGACAAACCACACAAACTCACACTTACTCCTACGGGCCATTTAGAGTCTCCAGTCAACCCAAGATGCATGTCTTTGGACTGTTGGAGGAAGCTGGAGTACCTGGAGAGAACCCACGCAGGGACAGGGAGAACATGCAAACTCCACACAGAAAGACCCCGGGTCGGCCGGGGCTCTAACCTGGAGCCTTCTGGCTGTGAGGCGACAGTGCTAATCACTGCTCTGTTGTGCACCTGCCTCATTTCATGTTTTCTTTAAATCTCTTGATATCTCACAGGACGACCCGTTCTCAGCCTTGGACATCCACCTCAGTGATCACCTGATGCAGGAAGGAATCCTCAAGTTCCTGCAGGATGATAAACGCACTGTGGTCCTGGTCACCCATAAACTGCAGTACCTCATACATGCTGACTGGGTAGGACTACTAAACTGATATAACAAAACCCTAAGTATCTTGTATATACAGTACATTAGTCATGCCTAATTTTCCTATTCTATGCTTAAAAGATGACTTTAACATGTTTTTACTGAACTTCTTCACAAAGGACATCACTGTAGTTGGCTTGTGTCATGTCATTTTAATTCCAATTGTAACATTTAGGTTCTGGCTTAGATTTTTAGGCATCACTGTAATAAGTTGTGATTGTTGTGTATTTTTCACCTTCCTTACACAGAAGAGCTAGTTTAGCTTCCATTGTTAGCATCATAGCAGTCTATCCCATGTTATTTTAATGTTTTCTGTATGTTGTGTCCAGATCATAGCGATGAAGGACGGCTCTGTACTGAGGGAAGGAACTCTGAAGGACATTCAGACTCATGATATTGAGCTTTATGATCACTGGAAAACCCTGATGAACCGACAAGACCAGGATCTGGAGAAGGTAGTGTGACATGGTGTTGGATATAAACACCAGAAGTCTAAATGAACGTACAATATGTGACCTTGAATGACTTTGTAACCACACAGTGCTGATCTGCTTGGCTCAGTTCAGTTTCTACTCTGTTCCTGATCTAATGTGTTTATAATCCACTGTGTCTCCTTATGTAGGACGTACAGCAGGACAGTCAAACAACACTAGAGAGGAAAACTCTGAGGAGAGCTTTCTATTCCAGAGATGCCAAGAACCTAATAGATGATGAGGATGAAGGTAAGGGATTTCCTAAACTCATTGTCTGTGGCAAATTTCTGATCTTGCTCTTTAATTGTTGTCTTAAGTCATCAGTGGTTCCCTCTCAGATGCAACAAAAACATGATCACATGTAACTGAACGTAGCTGAAAAGCTAAAACTTGAAGTGTAAATGATGGACTTGGAAAAGGTGCCCAAACACAAACTTTTCAGATTTTACATTTTTACATTTGTGGCACTATTTTATCATCTAGCATCTGTTTTATTTGGAATTTAAAGAAAGTATGAAATGGAAACATGTTTGTAATATTGTTTGCTTGAATCACATTGTTGTTAATTTGGTCTTCATCCTGTCAGAGGAAGAAGAGGAGGAGGAAGATGATGACAACTTGTCCACAACCACTAACAGACGATCAAAGATCCCATGGAAGGTAACCTGTGTAAACAGCTGCACACTTCTGTTTGACACTCACACATTTGTCCATCATTCAGTCTGTCACTTTTGAAGTTAGCCAACTAGTAATTAGATTCATAAAGTGTCACAATTTTTGAGCCCAAAGTTATGTCTTAAATTTGTGTGTTGTGTTTGAACACCCATCTAAACTCCTACAGAGAAAATAAGTTTAAAGTTGATCTTTACACTTGTGGAGACCTAAGTTGCACCAGTAATAATCACAACCTGGTTTATCAGCGGTTAGTTTTCTACAGCGTTACTAGTGACATCTGCATCGCTCCTTCACCTCCTCAGGTGTGCTGGTGTTACCTGTCCTCTGGTGGTTTTTTTATGGTCTTCCTGGTGGTGTCCTCTAACCTCCTCAAACACTCTGTTATTGTTGCCATTGACTACTGGCTGGCTCTGTGGACATCCTCCCAAACCAGTAAGAGTGGAGCCAGCCTGCCTCAGAGTCTCAGGAGCAACACCACCCTCCCCACCCCTGGCACTCTGGAGATGGAGGTACACTGTGACTTCATGGGGTTTTTCTGTTGTTACTTTGAAGGTTGATTCTCATGTAGCAAAATAAAACTATTATAACAGTGAAAAAGATGAGAAATCATTAAAAAGAACTCTAAAAGGGAACTGGAAATGCAGTGTTATAGTCATTACATTATGGGGGTGTGTAAGGGGTTCACCAAATACCATAGACATACAGTATATTAACCACACACGAGAGACATTGACTCCGTTTAGACTTGGCTTTAAAATGCGTTCTGGGCGATCAGATCACGAGTGGACGGTGCTAAATACGAGTGTCAACAACCATCGAGACAGATTTTGATCCAGTCCCTGAAGCCAAGGTGGTCCGGGACACATTTTTGATCCAGTCCCTGAAGCCAAGGTGACTTAACCACAGTGTAGTGTAAATGCTAATGCGTCCTGATGCATCCCTAATAGGGACATTTGAGGAAAAACATCATCGATGCAGGATGTGGTGATTGTTTTAGTGACAGTGTGCCAACGCTCAGTAAAAGAAAAAATGGAGAGAAACGCGATATAAATTCATTAATGGAAGTTTTCTTAGTATATTTATGTACAAATCTGATGCTTTTCTACTTCTACTTTGGTAGAATAAGCAGTATAGATAACGAATGGATAACACATGAAAAGGGTACAGTTAGTGTATACAGCTGTAACACATTGTACAATAAAATGTCAGAAAGTAATTACTGTTAATAATGTTGATTGTGTTTATACACTGTGCGCCTGTGTTTGACCCACAGCAGGACTCCTACTACCTGCCGGTATTTATCATCCTCTGTGCGGCTGGAATCATTTTATGCCTCTTCACCTCTCTCAGTGTGGAGTTTCTGGGTCTGTCTGCAGCCATCAACCTGCACCACAACCTACTCAACAAGATCATCCACGCTCCCCTCAGGTACACAGACTCACACTAGTCTGTAAAGGAGCTGCTCACTCAGCGCTGGCCTGCTGTAGCTTTAATTGTAGTTGTTTGACAGCACCACAAAAGGTACAAATTGAAGAAGGTTTAAAGACTTGTACAACGTAGAAGTTGTGTATGTTAGTTAAACTTTTGGGCTATTTATTGTACCTATGTGTTCACTTGTGTGTGTTAGTATTAGTTTGTGATAGTCTGATTGGCTCAGTAGCTATGTTATGTACGGTACAGTGTCTACACAGTGGGGATGAGGTAAAATTATTAGCATAGGTAGACTTGGCTTTAGAAATGATGAACAACAGGAAAGTAGAGCTTCACAAATATGTCTTGGCTCCAAGAAAGCACTTGTGAGTTTCCTCTAAGCGTTTACATTCCATTTTGTTCATCGATCGTCTTTGTGCCTGCTCTGTTTTATCTGTTGCTTTTTCCGGTTCAGTAAATAACCACAGTGAACTAAGTACAACAAAAGCTACATCACTGATCTTTCTCCGTCTTTCTCCCCTTCTGGAGGCAAGGTCAGACAGTGGGGTTACATCACCTTTGTCTAAATGGAAGTACCCCACGTGTGCTTTATGTATTTTCTGATGCATTTATGACCTCCCTCAGGTTCTTTGACATCACTCCCCTGGGACAAATCCTCAACAGATTCTCAGCTGATACTAACATCATTGACCAGGTAAAGGATGAATGAAGGATCATTTACGTTACGGACTAGAGAACCGTGACGTGGTACAGAAACTGACCTATTGTTTTTATATTTTTGTGTTTTGGTACACTAAAGGAACATGAATGGGGCCTCACTTCATTGTCTCTCTTTCTCTTAGCATATCCCTTCCACGCTGGAGTCTCTGACGAGATCCACGTTGCTGTGTTTGTCAGCCATTGGGGTCATATCCTCCATCACTCCTACTTTTCTGATTACCCTGGTTCCCCTGGGGGTGGTCTTCTACTTCATTCAGAAGTATTTCCGGGTGGCCTCTAAGTGAGTCTGCAGTGTATTTGTTGCAGATAGGCTGCGTTATTTTTGTTTTTTTGTTCTGAAACAAGTCTGGGAATGTGAGCAGTTGAGATGCAGTCATCTTCAGGAAACCTTTTGGACTCGTGTACATTATCGTTGGGTGAAAATTTATTTAAATTCATGAGCTGTTTTCAGAAATTTAGTGTTTTATTCCTCAGTGTTAAATAACAATACAGAAGATTTGAATTGTTACATCATTAACAATATGCAGAATGGAAATAGTGTCACTGTTTCTCTCTCAGGGACCTCCAGGACCTCGATGACTCCACACAGCTGCCTCTGCTCTGCCACTTCTCTGAGACCGCCGAAGGCCTCACTACTATAAGAGCATTCAGGTACAAGTAGGGATGAGTCAGAGCCAGTAGCGGTAACGGACTCTTGCTTACATGTGTTACTGCTACTGTAGTGACAGGAGTATTACTTCTAACTGTAGTTATATTGCTAGAAGCAGCAGCAGTATCGTCTTGTACCCCCGTCTTCACCCTATTTCCCGTCGTCAGTTTAATCCAACATTGAATAACTCTCATGCTGTTTTCTCCTCTCTTCCCTGAGGACTTCTTCTTCCTCACACACATAAATATACAAACCCTGAAACACACATCATGCACACACACACAGTGAATCTAGTGCTGAGACAGATTCTTGGCAGTCATGGGATGGTTCCCATTGCCATTAATGGTGGTCTCCTTCCAAAACAAGTCTGATTTAGATGGCGGTGATTTACTACTGGGGCAGCGTGGTGTTAGCAAGAAGGTTCTGGGTTCGAGCCCCGGCCAACCCAGGGTCTTTCTGTGTGGAGTCTGCATGTTCTCCCTGTGCCTGTGTGGGTTCTCTCTGGGTGCTCCGGCTTCCCCCCACAGTCCAAAGACAGGCAGGTTGATTGGCGACTCTAAATTGCCCGTAGGAGTTGAGTGTGAGTGTGTGTGGTTGTGTGTCTGTTAAGTGGCAACCTGTCCAGTGTCGACCCCGCCTCTCACCCATTGTCAGCTGGGATTGGCTCCAGGCCCCACTACCCTTTTAAGGATAAGTGGTATAGATAATGGATGGATGATTTACTACTGAACACAGATGATGACGGCAGCAAACAAAGTATTACGTTGGAGAGATTTATAGAAGAATAGAAGTGATGTGTTGTATGTATATGTGTTTCAGACACGAGGCTCGTTTTAAACTGCGAATGCTGGAGCTGACGGACACCAATAACACCGCCTACCTGTTTCTGTCTACTGCCAACCGCTGGCTGGAGCTCCGAACGGTGAGGAGCAAGTTTGTGAATATTGTCTTATCGAATCGAATCAAATCTAATCAAACCCCTTTATTGCTATTGTAAAGTTACCATGAGATTTATGTTAGCAACTACTACAATGTATAAAATATATATAATATATAAATAAGTTATAATAAAAGAAATAATAAATAAAACGTACAATAAAACATTTAAACAAGTAGATCAATTTTTAGTAAAATCCTTTCTATCCAATCTGATTAATATTTATTGTGTGTGTGTGTGTGTGTGTGTATATATATTTTTTACATAATGATTTTTAAGGAACTTTTTTGAGGCACATAAGAAGGTTGCTAGTATTTTAATTTCATGCACTGCATCAGTAAAACACCTTTAAACTATTTTGTGGAGCAAACAATTCAATATTTATGAATTTAGCTTTTTATAACCACAACTAGTTATTTTAATTGTGATGACCATCTACCAGACAGCCTGACACTAACAGTGTGAACTTCATTGATAAGTGACAAATAGAATAACTAAGTTCTCACCAGATTGAAAATGTTTTTCCTGTGGCAACATCTGTATTATCAAAGAGGCTGAAGATCGTAAACATCACCTGGAATGTGAATGACAGGTTTGATAAGGGGTTCATTTGGAACCAGATCCAAAGTAGAACCAGCTACGGGAACCATACATGACTGGTTACTGGTTTTCTCACAGATACAGTTCTAACATTGTATACAGTAAATCACTGCATAATTTGGATGGGCAAGATATATATTGACATCATCACAAGAGTTCTCTGTTTTTAACCACAAAATTAGACGTGTTAAATTAATGGAAATATGTTTTACTGTGACGTATAAAAGGGTACAGGGTTTATCTGATGCATCACTCCTGCTGTATTATGATGAGTTACAGCTCCCCTTGTTTGACATGTTTACCGCATGTTGGAAAACGGGATAAACTTGTAGCTCAAAGTGGACATGTCGACTATGTTCAGTGAGTAAACACTTCTTTTGTTCTCCGTCTCTGTGCAGGACTACCTCGGAGCAGTGCTGGTGTTTGCAGCAGCTGGAGCATCCATATGGTGTTTAGGCTACAGTCTGCCTTCTGAAGGCCTGGTGGGCCTCGGTCTCACCTACGCCCTCACTGTGCGTTTTTTCTGGTCTTATGTTCTCTCACACTGTTTCACTTCCTTTGCAGTCAGTCATTCTGGTCTTATGTTCTCTCACACTGTTGTTTGTCGTGTATCTGCTAAAGTGCCTGGCCTCAATTACTGCAAAAAACTACACTTACATTTCTTTTCTTTTATGTCTCACTAAAGCCGAGCAGGCATTGTACGACTTTTATTGGTCGTATACGATGTGTTAACTCACACTATATGTTTAAATCAGCCCGACTGCACGGTCAGAATCTGCGACTTCACTGCTCACATGGTACATTCACTTAGTTGGGCATGATGTGGGTGCTCACACTGGACACAGAACCCTGGAGCAGGTGTGTTCAGTGACAACCGCTGTAAAGTTGAGGTCAACCAAATGAAAAACAGCATTACCTTAAGCCATTTTACTCACAAGTGCACTGAGCTACCTTTGGACCGTAGATCTGCAACACAGCTGACCAGATTTCTGACATGCCAAAAATCCACCCAAGTGGTCAGGAGGCAGATCGTTAGTCGTTCAGGTCATAAAACAGGCGCCGGAACCCTGCTCATGCTGTACGTCAAACCACAACTGGCTTGACTCTAAAAGTAGTCAGGCACGACTGAATCGGGTCTAAAATCGGTCCAAATCCGTACAGTGTCTGCCTGGCTTAACTGTACCTCTGCTTTGATTCTTCTGCTTGACAGTGGACTTTTGTCCTTTTTTATTCTGCTGTTGCTGTAATATTAAAAACTCAGTTTGATGCTGAGAGCAGATACACTGTGTGACTTAAATCACTTACAGCTGTGTAGGGTTGTAGCACCCTGAGGTTCATCTGGCAGCTGTAGAGCAACATAAACAAGCGGACACGTCAAAATACATAGGTTATGTAATATGGCAGTGCAGCAAGGCCCTTAGGGTTGGTCTTACAGAGGGTATACCTGTCGCATTATTTCAGTTTATATTATTAAGACTGAACCTATTTTAAATCAGCCTGTGGTGGTCAATGTTGATATTGTGGCGGCCCACCACGAATAAATCAGTGTGTGGGAAACACTGTTCTAAATAAATTAGTGTGCTCTCACTTCACTTTACACCAGAGTTGGTCTTTAAATGTTCACATTTATACTCATGGCTTTCTAATAGCAGATTTAAGGTAAATTTAAATAAGGGAATCAACAGGAGCCATCTCATGTTCATTGTGGTTTGCTTGTGTGTCACTGTGCAGGTCACCAACTACCTGAACTGGGTTGTGAGGAACCTGGCAGACCTAGAGGTCCAGATGTCGGCTGTGAAGAAGGTCAACAGCTTCCTCAGCACAGAGTCCGAGAACTACGAGGGGTCTATGGGTAACCGCGTTTTTATTATTGAGCTGCCAAACTTCGTTATCTCTGTCTTTTAAGTTACTTTCACATGTGACTACTCTTAAAGCTAGATGACATCTCAGACAAAGAAAGGTGTAAAGGCAGGTACCAGTACTACACGCCTGCATTTTATTTAATAAGTCACAGCTGGATTGGGGGCAGAGCTTATGTCTGGTGGTGGGCTGTTCCAGTCTTTGAGCCACTACCGCAAAAGCCCAAACCCTACGATGTTTAAATCTGGACCTAGGTACATGTAGAACAAGCTGACACTAAAGGCTGGTTGCTGTCTGAAGCCACTGTAATCAGATGTGCAACCAATCAGCTTTAGGGAACCTGAGTAGCACATTAATAGGAAAACTCTGCTTCTGTTTACGGCAGCCAGGACTTTAACACAGACAGCTGGCGAGCAGTTAGTGGCCTGTTATTTGTTGCAGTGGTCTCTAACCACAGACTGCATTTAGTTTTCTGGTCTAGTGTATTTTAGGAGAGTTAAGAGAGTTAAAGCAGACATGGAGGAGTAAACCCTCCTGTGTTTCTCTCCCTCCAGAAGCCTCTCAGGTGCCCGACAACTGGCCTCAGAGTGGTGAGATAAAGATCCAGGACCTGAGTGTGCGCTATGATTCCACGCTCAAACCGGTGCTCAAACACGTCAACGCTTACATCAAACCAGGCCAGAAGGTAATTAACACGATGCTGTGAGAGGGCAGAGTGGGGCTGCACTGATCGGTGTGTGTGGTACAGTGGCTTAAAAGGACCAATAGTGATCAGTTGTGCTGCTTTTCAAGATTTAATATTTCTTCAGATATTTAGATTAAGGGAAGAAGCTCCCTCAGGAATCCACTGTGCCATGACCAACAGCCAGAGCTGCCATTAAACTAGCAGTAACTAGCAGTACTGTGCTAATACCTCTGCTGAAGTGACTGTAGGTAGCAGGAAATTCACACTGTGCTGCTGGGAAAAAAGGACTTCAGTCACACTGAAGTGACAAAGTGGAGAAATGTCTATAGTGAATGTGAACTTGTCGCCACACCGTGTAGAATTTTGGGTAAACGTGCTATTTTATGAGCTGGTGCTCATTATCCATCATAGAGATATACACTACACACATCTATAAGTTAATTAAAAACAAATTGTTGTTTGTGTTCATAAGGAGCCCAACAGTACATGCAATCTATTAAACAAATAAGCTTGGCAATCTGATGCCCTGACTGATTCTTATGTTTTTGATACAAAATGTGTTGAGTATTAATATTTGATCTCACTTTACTGACTGTGGTAATTCAGAATGGAAAACCTTAGCTGACTGTAGCTGACTCATAGCCGACCTAGAGATCCCGTCGATGAGGGCGATACACTAAAAAATGACCGCTCCCTGTTCTTAGCTCTCAGTGTGGGAGCTAACACTAGCTAGCAGCTGACAGCAGATAACAGAAACACGGCAGATGAATCAATTTCTGTGCTCAAACTGAACACTAAAGTGGACATTTGGATGCAGTTGAAGCATTTGCTACAGTATGCAGCTGTATGGGATAGTATTTATTTTTTGTTAACTTATAGATGCATGTAGTGTACATCAGTGCGGCATGACTACAACTTCACATTCTCTGTATGTGAATAAATGTAACTAGTAGCCTAGTATAAAACAAGAGTAGCTCTCAGCCGTTTTCATTTTATCAGAGTAACTCTCAGAGTAAAAAAGGTTGAAGTCCACTGAGCAAAACACTTCCAGAGTTTGACTGACTTTGTTTACTTAATCCTGTTCATGCCCTATGGGTCATGCAGTAATTCCATGATCTCCCTCTGTTGTTCGCTGTCCTTGGAAAAATGTTGTTTCACCCCAAGTTCATCTTGGCAACTTGTCTGTCTCAGCTGTGCTTTGGGTCATTTTGGTCTTTCAAGGGTTTTTTTTTTTCTTGCAAAGATGAGTCCATCCATCTCAGCACCTTGGAAGTCACTGCTTTCCTAATTCCAACACAGTGGGCTTGATTTTCTACTGAATTAAAAGACTGAGACAAAAGTAAATTCACGGTTGATGCAGTGAAGTATATTTGTCTGTGTCTATATCTCTTTGAGGAACAACACAAGGCACTGCCAGACTTTGTTTTTGTTACTGTACTTTTAGCAAGGTGCCCACTGGTGTCACATCCACATGCCTTCATGTAACCGACACTTGGGGACCATGCTCCATCCACACACAGCGTGTTCCTGCGACTCTTGTTATCACGCAGGCGTCTGATGTCTCACAGCAGTGTCACAGTGAAGCTTACTGACTTGCCTCTCCTCATCCTGTTAGGTGGGAATCTGTGGTCGCACAGGCAGCGGGAAGTCTTCTCTGTCCTTGGCCTTTTTCAACATGGTGGATGTCTTTGACGGTGGGTCTGTCTCCTGTCACACTGTTCACAAACAGAGAGCTCATGCTGTGTTTTTCCACCTCTTTCATCTTTGGTTTCTATTCCTGCCATCTGTCTCGTCCTTTGTCCTGCTGTCTGTCACTGGTTGAGTATGTTTATGTCTCGTTAAAGGGAGAGATTCTCTTGTCTATTTGGGAACATTTCTCTCAGGGTTTTTTCATTGAGTAACTCTCAACCCTAAAAAAAACAACACAACTCTGTCAGTTCCTTGTTGTGACTTTACATTGTTTAAGAATTTTCTCTGATCTACTGACGAGATAAAGAAGATGTACTCTCACATCTTAAAGTGATTTATGAGCTAAAATAATTTTTGACATTGACAGTGGGTGTAATGTCTTCAGGAAGCAGAGAGGCAGTTCAGGAATCTGCAGAACTAACAGTACTGATATGGATGAGACAGAATTATCTTTAGTTTAAATTATGCTGATATAACAATGGATCTAACAATGCTTGTGTTGTTTATTCCTTTTTTTTTTTAACTTGGAACATAATCACCCTGTCAGTTTACAGTTCCTTTCTGAAGTCTAAAGTGCTGATTGTAAACTTTTCAAACTGTATAAATCTACTCCCTCTTAGTTCCTGCACTGATTACAGATGTGGCCCATTCGTCTGTAGGACCCAGAACATTAGTTTTTCATCTATACATTTAGAACCATTAGACTGAAACGTGCTGTAGCCTGATGTTCTTATCCATGTTGTCTCTTCACAAAGGGCTTCAATTATCAAACTCTACAATGATTCAGTCTCACTAAACTGGTCCAAAGGCTGCAAATGCTTTTGATGGGTTTTTTGGTTACTGGAGGTCCCTTTAGGACTCACCATTGTGAATTATATCAGAAAGTAAATTGGCCATCTCTTTCCACTGAGGAGCACACGATTGTATTACACCTCCTGAGTTATAAATCATCAACGTACCAGACGTATTCACAAGTTTATCTTGTTCTGCAGCCTTTTTTTTGCCAGTACAGAAGTAGGAAAGATGTCCTACTAAGGAAAGATGTCCTTCTGTTACTATGCCCCTCAAAGATGGGACAGTTGGCAGGAAAAAACTAAACTGGCTGCGCTCATTCCTTTATCTCGGTTTAAACTGCTTTTATATAGAATCTGCAGTTTAAATGTGAGTGTAACATATGATGGATACTGTGTTAATATGATTTTATTCACATTCATTTTGTGTATATATTATATTGTTTTTATTTGTGTGTTTGTTTTACTCTTTCGAGGGTGTTAATTGTATGTCAGGGCACCATTGAGAATGAGAGCCTGCTCCCAACTGGTCGTTCCCTGAATAAGTAAAGGTGATGACGGTGATAAAGAGCTAAAATTCAGTAGACTCTACTACAGTGATGCCCTAACTTTAGTGCAGGACTCATTAAGGGGTAAAGCAGAGGACGCACAAGAAAAGGCATAGACAATAAGAACTTTTTTTAATGCATCAATTGTTTATTTGTTCTGTAACATTTTACAACATCAAGCCAAAT